TTGACCCAAAAAAAAAAAAAAAAAAAAAAAAAAAGTATAGAGACACATCTTCATAGGAGTAGCCAGAACCATTTTGGGCATTTTCCTGGATTTTGCATTCAAACCTCCTTCCATCAATCCCAAAAAAGGTTTCTCTATACAAATTTTATCATTATGTACAATAGCTGTACCTAAGAACTAGCAAATTTTTTTCAATAATTTTACATTGTAAGAGGCAGAGGCTTTATCAAATGAAATTAAAAGATGTCATTCATCAGGCCCGACATCTCCACCCCGCATTTTCTCATCCGCAGAAAATGAAAACCCTTGTAATCATGAACTCGTGACTGCAGATGGAATCATGTTTAAGAAAGCAGTTGTTCAAGCTCCTGATCGAAGTTATCATCATTTTGCAGCAGCAGCGGCTGTTCCTGTTGTTGCCCGTTGTCTTCTTGATGCTGCCGCATTAAACCTGTCTGTTCATAAAACTGTCCCTTCTGGACATTCCATTCCTCCGTAATTTTCTCCACTGCATCTCCAACCAATTTATCATCTTGAGCTATGTGCTCTATATTTCGAACATCCACAACTTGGCGGGCCTCTTTAAGAAAGACGAATTTCAATTAAAGGAGTAAGAACATAATCATATTATTTCATTTAAAAAAAGTAGAGGAAAATAGAGACCAAGACTAGGTCAGCTAGACAGGATAGGTCTATGATAATGCCCATAAAAAACTGGCAATCATAAAAGTAAAACCTAAAAGAATTTAGCATTGGTAAATAGTTATTAATGTTATGCAGATTTCATCAATACATTAGTTTAAAAGACGTTTTAGTAACATATAAATTCTTCATGTATTACTGAGGCTGTTATTTAGCTGGTAAACTACTAGAGAAAAACTGTACCATGTATAGCTAGCTTCTTAGCATCTGAATATTCTGTTGACAAATTCTTGAGCAGGTTCAGGTCAATTTCCATGCCCTGGTAAAAACTCAACAACAGAAACACGAGTAAATGACAATATATTATGGTTAATTTCAGGTCTCCCGGTTTTATTCCAAAGTACTTCAATTCAAAAGCTGTTATTATCTTTTGAACACCTTAAAGCAAATTAATCACTCAAATAAGAAACATCATAAAAGTTTAATAGCAATCTCATCTTTTGTAAAGTTCAGGCAGCTAAAGCACCTTTTGTTCCGCACAAGGAGAGACAAAATGCTCGATAATTCAATCAAAAGGTATGAGGTTAAATTACCATGTCCATGTGGAGGAAGTCTTGAATCCGAGTATCATCAAATAATCTGACAGCAAGAGGACACAAATTGAATTTAGATATCATAACTAATACGTAAATGCAAGAGTTAAACAAAAGTAAAAAATACATATCGGAAACAATACTTGGCATATAACACTTGAATTCGAGCATTCTGTAATTCTGTTAGTTGGTTAAGTGTCTCCGCCACAGCTCCTTCATTTATGTCAACAAACCCAAAAAGGAACATATTCTTGTCTAGCATTTTTTTCACCAGAGCAGGCACAACTTTTAAACCATTTTCTCTTGCAGTAACAACATGGCTTTTAAGTTTTTTCAGCTCCTCTGTCAAAAAGATAAGGAAAAGCAAATTCAGAAAGAGAACCCAGAAACCTTAAAAGGTTTTACCATAGATCAAGTTCAAATATATGAACAATACACACACACACACACATGTTGAAATGTCCAAGGGAAAAAAAGACCATACCAAGTGATAAATAAATCTTAAAAGGCGGTTTGAATGGTTGAGTCTCATGAAGGCAGTAGAGACAATAAAGCCCACCGAGTCGGCATGATAAAGAAGCTCTACTGTTCATATATCCTGCGCATGAATCGACCTTATGAAAGTTCTTTTTTGTGCGTATAAGATACAAAATTTGTGTTTTTTTTTTTTTTTTGGAAAAAGCAATTTCAACCCCAATAATGCCCTAATTCTCTTCTCTTTTCCTAAAATTGAATTTGATAAAGTGAAATTTAGTTGGCATTTCATTTTAACAAGTTGAACAACACCATACAATACAATAAAGCAGAAAAAGGAATATATATATATATATATATATTTTTTTTTTTGGAAAAAGCAATTTCAACCCCAATAATGCCCTAATTCTCTTCTCCTTTCCTAAAATTGAATTTGATAAAGTGAAATTTAGTTGGCATTTCATTTTAACAAGTTGAACAACACCATACAATACAATAAAGCAGAAAAAGAAATATATATATATATATATGTATGTGTGTATGTATTTTTATAATCATACCAATAGCGTGGCCAAACAACGATTGCATAAAGAAGGCCAAGTTTGAAGACGGAGTAGCCTCGTATATGTAAGAGAACTTCTTGGAAAGCCATACCCTTTTCATCTCCGCCAAAGTTAATGCCTCAGCCTGTTTCAATAACGCCATATTCAAGAGAAAGCAAAAAAAAAAAAAAAAAAAAAAAAAAAAAAAAAAAAAAAAAAAAAAAAACAGAAAAGAAAAAAAAGCAAAACCCAAGTTTTTGTTTGTCAAACAAACCTCAGAGAAGTCAGCAATAAGCTCATCAATGTCCTTCTTGAATGGGGTCAAATCCATGCTCTTTTTTCTGCCAATAACCCAAAAAGTTACTTGTTTCAAAAGAAGGACGAAGAAAATTTCCCAAAATAGCAATTCTTAGTGATGATTACGGGAAACGTAAGAGGGATATTGGGTTATTTTATTTTATTTATTGTTTTTGATAGTTAAGAAGGGTGTGAGAAGGTGACTTTGAGAGGGGATTCACCGGAGGTCGTGGGTCACGCTGGCCTCGCAGGGACGGCGGCGACAGGCCACACAATTCGAACCCAAAACGCGAACGGGCCTTTATTCTGTTTCATAGAGGTAGAAAAGGGAAAATGTAACAAATAGCATATGAATGATGCAGCATATTTTTTAAACATTATAACAAACACATCTCTGTTTTTTATTTTGAAATAATATTCTCTTGGATTAATTTTAAAAATTCCTTCTGAACTATGAGCCTTATAACATTTCTCCTTAAATTTTAAAACGTAACATTCATTCCTTTGAATTTTATTCCGTTAATAAGTTTCATTCTTCTGTTACAATGAGTGACGAGAATCACCACGTGGATAAAACTCGACCCATCTGAGGAGGGTATTATCGTAAACTCAACCTAACACGTGAAGATCATTATATGAACAACCCCAAATTACACCAATTAAAAGAACAAATCCATATTTATAACTAAGAACAAATTCGGATATAGGTAATGAAGTTTGGAATAATCTGAATTTCCTCTTATTAATTGAATGGACCGGAAGGGTATTTATACAAAAGCAAAAGATAAGATCTTATCCTAAGAGACCTCCTAGATATTAGGAACTACTTTACACATTTATAGGGATTAGCTTACAACAGATCCTTAGCTATTATCCCACGATTCTAGGAGCCTATCACTTATCTAATACTCGGCTAGTTTGAATTTCAACACTCCCCCTCAAACTAGGCGGTATGTACTCATTAGACCTAGCTTAGAGCTCAGTTCCGTGAAGTTGGGCCTGAAGAGGGACTTTGTAAGAATGTCTGCAACTTGATGTTGTGATGGAACATGACTCAGTGATATGATATTGCCTTCTATTTTCTCACTGATGAAGTGTCTGTCAATCTCCACGTGTTTCATCCTGTCATGGTGGACGGGATTCTTGGCAATTGCTATGGCTGATTGGTTATCACACATCATCTGGATTGGTCCTGAGATGGCAATTTTGAGTTCATCCAGTAGTCGTTTTAGCCATATTCCCTCGCAAATGCCCTGGGCTAAAGCCCTAAACTCTGCCTCGGCACTGCTGCGGGCTACCACTGGCTGCTTCTTGCTGCGCCATGTGACCAAATTTCCCCAGACGTAGGAGCAATACCCTGAAGTGGACTTTCGGTCGCTTGGAGACCCTGCCCAATCTGCATCTGTGTAGATTTCTAAGAGCCGATTGGCTGTCTTCTGGAATAATAGTCCCTTCCCTGGATCCCTTTTAAGGAACCTGAGAATGCGAGTTACTGCCTCCATATGATCTTCGGATGGATTGTTTAGGAATTGACTAACACGGCTTACGGCAAAGCTTATGTCCGGGCGTGTGTGAGTGAGGTAGATTAGTCTTCCTACCAAGCGTTGATACTGCCCTGTATCCACTGATTTTTCTTCAGTCCGAGGTTTTAATTTCGTGTTGGGATCCATGGGGGTTTCAGCTGGTCGGCATCCACTCATGCCGGTTTCTTGTAGTAGATCTAGCACATACTTGCGTTGAGAGACTGAAATCCCTTTGCTTGATCTTGCTACCTCCATTCCCAGGAAATATCTTAGGAGTCCCAAGTCCTTGATTTCAAATTCTTTGGAAAGGAGGGCCTTGAGTCTCCGTATTTCTTCTTCATGATTCCCTGTGAGTACTATGTCATCGACATACACGATTAGGATTATTACCTTGTTGCCGGTATAGTGTTTGATGAACAATGTGTGGTCGGCCTGAGATTGAGTGTAGCCATCAAGTTTTAGTACTTTTGTGAATCTGTCGAACCATGCTCGGAGCGATTGTTTAAGCCCATACAGTGACTTTCTGAGCTTGCATACCTTTCCCTTTGTGTGATCATCCTCGAACCCGGGAGGGATATCCATATACACTTCTTCTACTAGATCTCCATTCAGGAATGCGTTTTTCACATCTAATTGGAGCAGTGGCCAATCTTGGTTTACGGCAATAGATAGTAGAACACGTACTGTATTGAATTTGGCTACAGGTGCAAATGTCTCCTGATAGTCAATTCCGTATGACTGTGTGAATCCTTTTGCCACTAATCGTGCCTTGAATCTGTCTATTCTTCCGTCTGCCTTTTGTTTGACTGAAAAAATCCATTTGCATCCAACCGTATGCTTTCCCGGCGGTAAAGGTGTTAGACTCCATGTTCCATTCTTTTCAAGTGCACTGTACTCTTCCAAGGTTGCCGCTCGCCATTCCGGGACTTGTAGGGCTTCTTGAACTGTTGTTGGGATCTGAATTTTGTCGAGAGCTGTCACAAATGCCCTGAACTTTTGGGACAGGTTTGCATAGGTCAGGTGATTACAGATGGGATGCTTAGTGCATGACCGGACTCCTTTTCTCTGAGCAATGGGCAGCTCTAAGTCTGAGTGTTGTTCCGCGGGCTTCTCTGTATATTCACCGTCAATTTGCATACTAAGATCCACTTTACCTTGTGTTGTCTCAGAATTTCTTGAACTCGGGATTGGGTCATGATGTTGCTGACCTTGTTCAGGCAAGTGCTTTCTTCGGATAAATACTTTTATGGCATCATTAGGAAGAGTGAGATGATTGGGATATGGAATTGAATTGGCTGAAGATGGACTTGGTGGAGGAGACATGTTTGGCCGAGGAGGAGGTGGACTTGGCCGAGAGCTTTCTGGACTTGATGAGGATATGTTCGGATCAGGTAGGCCAGAGAGAGTAGGAGAAAGTGAGCCATAGTCAATGAGGGAAGTCCAGTCCCAATTTTGTGGTTCATGTGTGCTAATCTCCCCCTGAAGCTTGAAATTGGAGAAGTAAGGTTTGTTTTCAAAGAAGGTGATGTCCATCGTATGATAGAATTTGTTTGTGGTAGGTGAAAAACATTTGTATCCCTTTTTGTTTGATGAATACCCCATGAAGATGCACTTGAGTGCTCTTTCATCAAGTTTACTACGATTATGAGAATGAATATGAATGAATGCAGTGCATCCGAAAATTTTGAGGGGAACTTGTGTGATCAAATGTGATTTTGGGTAGCACTTTAGGAGAGTTTCCAATGGGGTTTTGAATGTGAGTATACGTGAGGGCATCCTATTTATGAGATAGGTGGCAGTGAGGACTGCTTCACCCCAGAATTTTTTGGGAACATTGGATTGAAATAGTAGGGATCGGGCCACCTCTAGGATATGTCGATTTTTGCGTTCAGCCACCCCATTTTGTTGTGGGGTATCTACGCAGGAACTTTGATGAACAATGCCATAGGATGTGAGGTAGGGACCAAGGATGGAATTGAAGAAATCCCGGGCATTATCTGTTTTGAAGATTTGGATGTTTGTTTGAAATTGTGTTTGGATCATCTTATGGAAGTTTTTGAATATTTGGCTGGTTTCTGACTTGTCTTTCATGAGGAATGTCCAACTTATACGGGTATGATCATCTATTAATAGTAGAAACCATCTTGCTCCGGTGATATTTGGAATTTTGTTTGGCCCCCAAATATCACCGTGGATGAGGGAGAATGGATGAGTTGGTTTGTATGGACGGGGTGAGTAAGTGCTTCGGGTGTGTTTAGATAACTGGCAAATATCACATTGAAGAAACTTGGGATTTTTATTGATGAATAATGATGGAAACAAGTGTTTCAAGTACATGAAATTTGGATGACCTAACCTATAGTGCCACATTAAGATTGCACTATCTTTATTTGTGTGACTCATGGACTCTAGACTATTGGCGGACCAACATTGTGGGCTGACATCTGTTTTATTGGCCTGGGAGCAAACTGAGGTGGTGGCTGAGTTGAGAAGGTACAAGCCTGCACATAGGTCAGCACTGCCAATCATCTTCCCCGAACTCAAGTCCTGAAAAACACAAGATTTAGCAAAAAACTTAGTCTCGCAGTTGAGTTCATTAGTCAATTTGCTCACAGAGATTAGGTTACAGTCTAAGTCAGGAACAAACAAAACTGAGTTGATGGTAAGAGTCTTTGAAAGCTTTATGGTTCCTGTTCCAGCCACTTGTGAACGTGTACCATTGGCTATTCGGACTGTTTGATAGTCCTGACATGGAATATAACTTGTAAATAGCATTCTATCACCTGTCATGTGATTAGAGGCTCCTGAGTCGACTATCCACGGTGACGGTGACTTGGCTACATGGAGTGCGAGATTCCTTGTGCCCTGTGATGACCCTTCTGCCGAGATTTGTGCCTGGTTGATCAGCTGTTGCAGTGTTTCCAGTTGGTCTTTAGTGAAGGGAACCTGGCTTTGAGACCTTGTGGATTCTGCTGTGGCAATATTTCCACGGCTGTCACGATCTCCAGAGTTACGACTTGGCTTCCAATCGGAGGGTTTTCCGTGTAGCTTCCAACATGTTTCTTTCGTGTGGCCTGGCTTCTTGCAGTGGTCACACCAAGGGCGTCCTCGACGAGAGTTCTGTGGTATCCCGCGAATAGCAAGAGCGGCTGGCTCTAACGAAGACTGATTCTCTCGGGTTGCCGCAAGGGCTGATCCATCAGGGATTGAATCGGATCGTCCCATCATAATTCGCTTGCGGCTTTCCTCCCGACGTACCTCAAAAAACACTTCTCGAAGACTTGGAATAGGTTTGGTGCCTAAAATTCGTCCGCGTACTTCATCAAGAGATTTGTCCAGCCCCATTAGAAATTTGAAGATGCGTTTGATCTCTACTATTTTCTTGAAGTATTTGCTGTCATCCGAGCACTTCCACTCGTGAGTTTCGAATAAATCCAGCTGCTGCCAATACCGCGTCAAAGTGGTGAAGTAGGTGGTTACTGGTTGATCTCCTTGTCGTAGGTCCTGGAGGATACTCTCCACATGGAAAAGTTCAGCAGTATTTTCACTGCTAGAGAAGGTGTCACGGACTGCATCCCAGATTTCATTGGCAGTCGTGTAGAGAAGGAAATTCTCACCTATTTCCGTCGTCATTGAACTGATTAGCCAAGACATGACCATATTATTTTCTGCTCTCCATGTCCTAAATTTAGGATCACTGGTGCCTGGTTGGACAGCGGCACCGGTGATATAGTCATCACGGCTTCGTCCACTAATGAACATCATCATGGTCTGAGACCATTG